CCCCCCCCGCCCCCCCGAGTGCCCCTAAGTGGCCTCCGAGCCTCTGTGCTGACATCCATGGCCCTGGTGCTCTTGTCCCCAACGCCCTGTGGTTGTGCTTTTGAAAGTGTCAGAACCGTCGTGGGAAAGGGGCCTCTTTTCATCCCGATTTTTCTCAGACGATTATTTTGTTTGGCCCCAAAGCACACAGTGAGCGTTGTAAACATTTGTTGAGATGTTTAACGGGTAGGGTTTAGATCCCAACACTAATGGGGAAACAGCATTTCCATTTCCCACGGTCCATTTGTTCTCTGCGAACGACAGCAGTGCTACTCCCGGTAATTACATTACAGGCTTCCCTGGGTTATCCCACTGGGCTCCCTGGGAATCGAGAGGGTGGATGGGGCCAGTTAGAAAAGGAGGAGGAAGGTCTGGGAGAGCCTGGGGGTCGGGGTGAGGCCCTCCGAGCCCGTGATTCTGTCCCGGCTGCGTCAGCTGGTCCAGGAGAAGCCGCCAGGTGGTGGCTGGAAGTCTCAGGTGGCACACAGGCTGGCTGGGGCATGGCTCCGGGCCGTGTCCACATGGCGCCCAAGCAGGCCTCTGTCCGCAGTCCCGAGTCTATTCTAGGAGACAATGATGCTGAATTATGTGGGAAAACCTTCCCTCGGGATTTTGGTGCTGGGAGGTTTCGACTTGACCACTCTCTCCATGTCCCCGTCCTGGAAAAGGCAGAGATTGTAGTTGTAAAAGTGGGACACGTGTCTCCTCTGTGAGCACCTCGGGCACATGCCCCAGGGACCCCTCTTCCTGAAAGGGGGCCTTTGAGGACCAGGGGGTCAAGGGGGGGCAGTTGTCACTTTTAAACGGGCTTATTAAAACCACATAGAGTGGCAGAGGGTGGGTGCGGGGTAGAAGGGGTCAATGGGGGAAAAGGGGGACATCTGTAATACTTTCAACAATAAAGGTAAATTTTTAAAAAAGCACCGCATAGAACCAGAAGCCATTTTTGCGAAAGTTGTTAATAAAACTCATGTTGATTTGTAGAAAAATGTCGGATAGAACCAGTAATATCCCGGTTTGGGAAGAACAGCTGGGCGGAGGGTGGTGAGGGACTGAACCCGGGTACCCGGCTGCCGTGACAAGGTACCGCGGACAGGAGCGTAAACAGCAGACGCGGACTGCGTCTGGAGGTTGAGGTGAGATCAGCGTCGGCCGGGCTGGTCCTGAGGCTGCGAGGGGCGGGGAGGGGGCCTGTTCTCCGCTTCTGGTGGTTGCTGGCGTCTTTGGCTCCTTGGCTCGTAGCAGCATCTCCCCGATCTCTGCCCCTATTGTTAGTGGCCTTCTCCCCGCATTTGTTTCTATGTGCAGTTTCCCTTTTTTATAAGAATGCCAGTCATACTGCTTTAGGCTCCACCCTAGTGACCTCATTTTAACTTGGTTACGGCACAGTAACTCCAACAGACCCCCTTCTAAAAGGTGAAGATCAGTCCTAGCAGGTTTGGCTCAGTGGTTAGAGGGTCAGCCTGCGGACTGAAGGGTCCCGGGTTCGATTCCTGGTCAGAGCGCATGTGGGAGGCAACCAATCGATGCGTCTCTTTCACATCCATGTTTCTCCCTCTCTCTCTCTTCCACTCTCTCTGAAAAGCAATGGGAAAAATATCCTCAGGTGAGGATTTTAAATAAAATAAATTAAAAGTGAAGGACAGTGGGATATGCCCCACTGCCCCCATGCTTCAGAGGGGACATGCCAGGCTTGCCCTGACCCTGTCTTCAAATAAGGTCACATTCTGAGGATCTGGGGTTGGGGCCCCAACATAGGGACTTCGGGGGGAATACACTTCAACCTATAATGGGAACTATTAAGTTTAAAGGTAAAATATTAAAATGTTCACTGAGGTTGGTTTTGAAATCTATAACACTTTTTAAAGTGAAGTTTCCCACACAATCCGTGCTGTTGGAAATCAGAACAGTAGTTACCTTGGGGACAGGTGATGACACAGGCTGGGTAGGAGGGACGGCCAGGTGCCAGTTGGGTTTTGTTTCTAGACCTGGGTGCTGTTTTCCTGGGTGTTTTTGGTCTTTGAGAAAATGCACTGACCTGCTTACTCATCTCTAGAGACTCTGCTGTGTGTCTTAGACTTGAAAAGAAAGTACCTGGGGAATTGGGGCACCTGCTGCCTGCTTCCAGGATGACTTAGGAGTTTGGTTTCCTGTGTAAACATTGACATGAATAATTCTCAGAGGTGTAAGTGGTAGGGACAGAGTGTAGGGAGTAAATAGCAGGGGCAGCTTCTTGAATTGACAAATGCTACTTTTCACAGGCCTCCCTAGACACCTGGACAAGAGACCTGGAATTTCATGCTGTGCAGGTAAGAATCCGGGGTGTTATTACAGATTAGTCGGCGTTCCCCAGAGAAACAGAACTAACAGTGTGTGTGTCTCATGCTTGGACACCCAGGGAGGAGTTGATATCTCAACTCGAGTCCCACAGCCTTTTGGAGGCAGAACTCCTCCTCCTTCAGGACCCCTCAGTCTTTTTCTCTTACAGCCTTCAACTGATTGTTTAAGGCCCACCCTTTGTGGAGGGCAATCTGCTTTACTCAGTGTCTGCTGATTTAAATGTTAATCTCATCTTAAAAAAACACCTTCACAGCAACATCTAGACTGGTGTTTGACCAAACACTGGGTACCATGGCCTAGCCAACTTGACACATGAAGTTAACCATCACAGATGCCCCTGAAGGCCGGTGGACCTCTGCCCAGGGCTCTGGGCTCTGCACACCCCTTCCAAACATCCCTTCGTCGGTTACAGGAGAGATTTCTAGAGCCAGTGTTGGTCTCTTTCTACAGAAAACTCCTGCCTGTATACCTCTTAGTGCTGACGTACTCCATCTGGGTGGCAAAGTTTTGTGTCTTGATCCTTTAGCTTTTAAGAACCCAAAGCGAGTGGGAAAGGGGCTGAGATGAGCTTGGGAGGACACCAGCCGCACTCACAGCATAGAGCAGCCCAAGCAGGGTGTGCCAGACATTTGCAAGGTGGCCATCCATGTCCCCTTTGATGCTTGGAGGTGGGGGGTGAAAGCTCGCTCTCTTTGCCTTCAAGAAGGGGGGTCATTTTGCAGAAACAGGCAGAGTGAAGCGGCGAGTTTCAATCGGTCTTGACCGACTTGGAGCAGATGGGCCCCTTGCCCCTTAGGAGCGTCCTGTGCGATGACTGGGAGCACTCGGCTTCGTCAGTAGCATCCCAAGTACTGACCTGGAGGCCTGGGATTCCCACATGGTCCCTGCCCTTGGCCAGCCACTGTGTCCGGCCTTTGTGTCCTCCACCGGGATGGCCTGACCCTGCCCCAGGCTCCCAGAGGGCAGTGTGGGGTCAGGGGTTAAGAACTTCAATGTTAGGCCTGGCCCATGCGGCTCAGTGGTTAGCGTGTCAGCCCAGGAACCAAAGGTGTGAAAAGCTGGCCGGTGTCTCAGACCCGCTCGGACAACCCTTCACACGGGAATCGCGCTGTGGGTTCTCGTGCGCGTCTGAGCGCGTGTTCGCTTCTGATTTGAAGGACAGAAAGCCCAAAGAGCAAGAAAAAAGAGGGGACTTCCTCCACCGGCCCTTTCCCAAGAAGCTGGACAAGAACCTGCCGCCGCACAGACAGCCCTCGGCCTCGCTGGTGGCGCAGATTCAGAACACGAGGGCCCTGCTGCGGGACCGCAAGGCCACCAAGCCCGGCTTCCCTGACAAAGGTGGGTCCCCGGGCTGCTCTCTGGGCCACTCGTATGAGTGAGCTGTGTGGCCTGTGTCCCCTCGTAGGCGGCTGTGCGGGGCCTGGGACAGACTCGACCCCTGTGGCCCTGGGACAGCAGAGTTAGGGCACCTGAGGTCACCTGGGACATTCGAGGTCCGGACTGTGCTATCGGCTCTCTGTGCACAAGGGGGTTGAGAAAGCAGAGAGGGGTGCAGGTGTGGGCACAGAGATGGGGTGCAGGTGTGGGCGCAGAGATGGGGTGCAGGTGTGGGCGCAGAGATGGGGTGCAGAGATTGGGCTGCAGGTATCGTGGGCACAGAGACGGGGTACAGGTGTCGTGGGAGCAGATTGGGGTACGTGATACTGTGGGAACAGAGGTCGGGCGCGCGGTATTGGGGGGCCCGGGACAGGCAGATGTTAAGCTAGTGCCACGGGGCAACTCAGAGCCCAGGTGGCCTCTCGCCAGCCTCCCGTGCACCCCAGGAGGGCGCGGTGGTGGCCTCCGGGCGGCGCCCCGTCCTGGGCAGGCCGCGGGCCAGAGCAGGCGGGAGGGCACAGGTCACGCCCTCGCGATCCTCTGCTTCTCCGTGTGCAGATTCCTTCGGCTGCCGCAGTATTTTCCGCAAAACCTCCGACTCCAGCTGTGTGGCATCTTCCTCCATGGAGTTCATCCCGGTGCCTCCGCCCAGGACCCCTCGGATCGTGAAGAAGCCGGCGCCCCCTCCGCCGGGCCCGGGCAGCAGCAGCGTCCCCCCCAGGGAGGAGCCCCCGGTGCTGGACATGGTCCGCTCCTTCGAGTCTGTGGATCGTGCTGACCCGCTGGACCTGCCGTCTCCATCCCGCCCCTGCAGGGGGCTCGGCTCCCCCGGGGGCTCGGCCCGTGGGAACCCCGGGGAGCGGGCGCTGTCCCCGGCCCTGCTGCCTGGAAGCCCGTCCCCGCTCCAGCCTCCCGTGCACCCCACCCTGGCCTCCTTTGCTCACGAAGAGAAGCACTGTCCCCACAGAGAGGGGGGGGTGTGTTCCCCTCCCCTGGCTCCCAGCGCGGGCGCCGCCCAGGCCCTGGGGAGCCCGACCTGTGTGAAGAGCCGGGGCAGGTTCCCCATGATGGGCATCGGGCAGATGCTGAGGAAGCGGCACCAGAGCCTGCAGCCCTCAGCCGACCGGCCGCCGGAGGCCAGCGTGACCCCGCTGCCGCCTGGGGCGCCCGGGAGCCTCCCCTTCGATGTGGCCGAGGGCCTCAAGGGCCAGTGCTAACCGGGCCGGCGTTGGTTCGGGTCGTTTCCAAGGCCAGCAATGGGACAGAGCTCCACAGGCCGTCAGGGCGAAGATTCGGAAGCCTCCTTAGCACCCTCCAGCCAACAGCGTCCCGCGGGGGGCAGGCGAGACCCACAGACCAGCGGCTGCACCGCCCAGCCCTGCGTCCGGACCCCGGATCCACCGGCAGGGTGCAGCCAGTGACGCTCACTTCTCCCTCCCTCCCTCGGCCGGGCTCGGCGGGGACCCCATGCAGAGGCCGTGGGGCCGCCCGGAACACGAGTTTCCGGATCTTTCCCACTGGTCTGCCCCGGCCCCCGATCCTTCTCCCTGGCAGTCGGTCCCAGCCATGGGGACTGGTGGCCGTCCATCAGGCCACGGCTTCTTGTCCTTCGTAGTGGTGAACACCGGGAGTGCCAGCCCGGGAGCTTCGCAGGAAGACGGGCAGGAGCCTCGGCCACCGCGCTGGCCCCTCTGACCGGAAAGGGACAGCTGGACAAAGACTGAGCCCAACGGGGGGGACCCGGTGAAAGGAAAAGACCGAAGGGGGCCCCCCATTTCTGAGGCAAGATTTTCCCTTTTTTTGCAACTGGTTCCACCAAACTCATGTTTCCACGAGAGGATAAGCGTGGAGGGCGTGCAAGCTCACCCAGGCGACCTGTAGTAGCTGGTGACCTGCAGGACGGGCATGACCCCAGCCGGCCCTGCGTTCATGCCATTGTCCCGACGTGGCCCGAGTCCTTCCCGAAGGCGTAGGTCATTTCCGTTGGTAATTTAGAAGGAGAATGTGGTTGAGGTCGAATTTGGATCGTCCGGAAGGCACGTTACCTCCGAGCAGGGCGGCTCCACGCGTGCTGAGAGCCGAGCCGTTTGCTGTGCGCAGGCGCCGCGAGCAGCTTGCCTGGCGGATCCCGTGCCCGGGTCAGCGCTGCGTCTTCTCTGGGACTCAGGCGGCTCCGAGCCCCTGCTCTGTGTTCACACCTGTGCTAAGGATCGAACCAAAGATGCATCTCGGCTCTGTGTCCGGCCCCTGCGTGTGCGTCTCGTGGACCCCGGTGTTGTCTGACCGTGTCCAGCTGGAGCCTGCCCGGGGCCGTGTCCACGTGGAGCCTGGGACTGGTGCTTGGGGGCCCCTCGGGCATGAGCGGCATTGGAAGCAGCAGCGTTGGCCCAGGTTGGAGAGCGGTTAATTCAGGAGACAGATTATACAACGGCCCAGAGTCTTCATCTGCTGACTCATGCAGGAGTGACAGAGGCCACCGAGGTGGCCAAGCCAGGACGCGTCCTCTCAGCCCCCCGGACCCGGCCGTGGCCCTTGAGAACTGCAACGTCTGCGCTCGTCTGCGTGGCCAGATGGTGCCAGAGGGAGGGAGCCGCTCGCCTTGGCTCAGCCACCGGTGGTGACCTCGTCTGCCCCACGTCTCCGCCCGAGCGAGGAGAGGGGGGCATTTGCTGAGCCCTGAGGCCCCTGCGGTGCCGGGACTCGGTTGACCTGGATGCGACCCGCGGCTGCTGCTCCCGGCTCGGCGGGGCCGCCCCGGCCCCCAGGCTTGCCGGGAGGGCGTCCGCTCCCGGCGTTGCT